GTGTTTATGAGTGTGAGTGTGAGTGTGAGACATGCGTTGGCAATACTATAATTAGGGGTGCTCCGATTGATCGGCTACCGATCACTATCGGCCGATAATCACGTTGGGATAATTGATCAGTGGTCTCTAAAAGGCTACTCACCTTCATATTTCTTCATTAAATAACTTATAAAGTTATTTGAAAACCTTGTGTTAGACGTAATTTCACAAACAGCGTGAGTGAATCACCGCATGTGCTCTCTCTTTCTCTCTCAAAATACGCAAATGGCTTCAAATCACCACACATCGCGTCTGTCTATAAGTGAGCTGCACACTGCACAGTTGACACAGGAATTGTTACTTGCACAGTCGAGGCAGTCACATCGTCACTAAGTTTACAAATTGCATTTCTTTTTAATTCTTGCCAGTGTTTAACCATTCAGCACTCACGCGCTCTCCTGGAGACAGTACGCTCATGGAAACTTGCAGCGCACACACATGACGCCAGGTTCACATTACTCTGTTTGCAGTGCATACGTGGTGCGTATTTTTTCCGCGCTCATGTTAACGGATTAAAGCGTTCACTGCACACAGCTGCGGCCCGGCTGTGCGTTCAGGAGCGGTGCGTCTGCAGCAGTGCCGAGATCGTTTCCGCACATTTCTGCAAGCGCTGAATTAAAGTAACAGCGCATTGTTTGCAGTAAATATGAACATGGATTGACACGAAAATTTAGTAATTACAAGACATATTACTAAAGTCTACTGTGTTACACAGTCAATACATATGGCTTTTTGACTAAGTTTAAAGGGAAAGAGCACTTTTAGATAAAGAAGGCAATAATAGATGGCACTCGTGGAGGCAGGAAAACAAAGTTCTCTATGAACCGCAGGATTGCTTGTAATAAAGATTTCAATACAAAAGAAAAGGCAGTAGAGCTGACTATTTCTGTCAATGGTAAGTGTGTGATAACGTAAGAAAAGTAGTTTAAATGTTTTGCCAATTGCTTGAGCAACTTGATATATAAATCTAGAAGTAAATGCAAAAGTAAAAAGCATTGAATAATGTGTTGCTTATACTATTGTGTTTAAACATGTCTGTGAAAGATTGTATTACTGCGCTGTGTAAAAAAAAGAATTGCAATGCTGAAAAAGCAAGAAGCTTGAAATCAAAATAATTTTAGAGAAAGAGAGAGACTTACAGGTTCATTCTGTGACATGAGCCATTTCCTTTCCATTTCCATGTAATGTTCATCAGCAAATCAGGCATGCTCAGCAATCCTCATATGTCTCTATGTCTCTCTCACAAGCACAAATAATAAAGTTACATACTGTTTAACATGTGTTGATTACCTTCATTAACACTATATACCAGGTGTGGCGAACTCCGGTCCTGGAGAGCCACAGCCCTGCAGAGTACAGCTCCAACCCTAATTAAAACTCACCTGCCTGTAGCTTTCTAGTAACCTTTCAGAACTTGATTAGCTTGTTCAGGTGTGTTTGATTAGGGTTGAAGCAAAACTCTGCAGGGCTGCGGCTCTCCAGGACTGACTTTCGCCACCCCTGCTATATACTATAGGACAGTTACACCAATCATAAAATCAGTATCACAAAATTCATCTTACCATTTTTCAAACTCCATTTACTCTGCAATTACAATTGCTTAAATAATGCTATGAGATGTTTTAATGTAAATATTAATGTAAATTACATTTTGAATATAGAAATATGAAGTTGGGGAACATGAAATTACCCTAATAAGTGTATCATAGAATCATTCATTCATTCAGGAAAAAGGGCTGTATTGATGTTTTAATAGTGGTTTAATTTCACAACAGTGACAAATAGTGCTGAAGTTAATGGCAAACACAATGGTTACCTGGCTGTCACTAATGAAGGCATGTTCGGGAGACGGGGATGCTGCTCCACAGGGCATTCAATTAGCTTGTGTTAGTGATGGCTGTGACAAACACATACGCACCAGGGAACTGTCAGACAAACTTAGCAGACACACACCTATCATATTTTAATGTCACAATTTCTCAAAACCAGAATACCTGTGTTTACAGATCTTTGATTTTCATCTCAATTAACTCTGTTGGTGATTATAATTAAAACTCACTTGCACTGATAAGACACCATAACCTTATTCCACCAGTTACCATATTTGCCATACCACCTTGTCCTAATGAGGTTACGTTAAAAAAAATCATGGCATCTTACAGGGGTTTTTTTTGTTGCAAACACACTTTGTCATTCATAAAACAATGACCTAAAAACACTAACAACAGGTATAATACAGTGTTTTATTTTGTAATATGTCTTTACAAATCTTGAATGACACACTCTACTTTTCAGAATTCACTGCATTATGTTACATGTTTATGTTGCAGTACAAAACTATTCCCAATTGTTTTTAATAATATAATTTTTTTTTTTACATTTGGAATATATTTCAATGTGATATTGCTGCCTTTTTTTTAGTTTGGGGGGGGGGGGTCATGTAATTCAAAAGATCATTGAA